TTTTTTTTTTTTTTTTTTTTTTTTTGTACCAAGAATCATACTCAGGACCTTTGCACTTGCAAGGCAGGCATGGCACCACTGAGCTATATCCTCAGTCCAACCATTAGCTTCTTAACCTCTCATAAAAAGTGATCCTGCAGGGAAATATCCAATGGTTCAAAATATGTTCATGTTATTCTGTCTTTTTGTCTTCAACTGACATTTTTAACCTTTCATGGCTAGAAAATCTACAGAAAATGCTGGAAAGAGTAGGGTAAGAGCCTTTTGGCATGTCTCTTTGATTAGTGGTCTTCTTTGATTGTCATTTCTAGTTAGAAATTTTGAAAATGCCTTGTATGGATTTTATCTAGAATGATAGACAGGGCACTTGGGGGTGGAGCAACTTGAATTCTCTTCTTGACATGGCTTATAACAGTTGTATGTCCATTTATTCATCTTTAAAATGAGGCAGAATTCAACAATGCTTGTGATGCTTTTTCGTTATTATCATTCTGAACTTTGTATGTTAGCCTACACGGCAATCAGTGCATCCATAGAAACCAAAGATGAATGTACCATGGATGTGGAGCCTGTGCAGATTAGGAAAGAATGAGTGGAGAGAAATAAAACCCGTGTCTTTGGAGATGGTTGAGATTGAATTTCCTCAGCTGGGCCTGGTGTGCTCCTCCCGCCTCAACTGTACCTCCCAGTGTCCCATGTAATAGACTTTTCTTGTGGAGGCTGCCTCCTGCCATTTCCCTCACTCAGCTCACTGCTCTGAAAGTTATCACCAACCTTTAACTGCTGCACAGTCCTGATAGCCTCTGCACAGAATGACACCCAGAAATTTTGCATTCTGAACAGGAAAATAATTACCTCTGAGCCAGGCATAATAGTGCACACTTGCAATCCTATCTTCTTGGGATACTGAGTCAGGAGGATCACAAGTTAAAGGCCAGCCTGGGCTGCATAGTAAGGTCCTGTCTCTAAAGAAAGAGTTGCTTCTTGCCCTGCTCTGTGGCTGGCTGGGCTCTTGTGCCTCTTCCTTCAGCTCTGAAGAGAGGTCTCATTTCCACATGTGTCCAATTTAATGGACTTCTGTTCCTAAAGCCTTCTTTTCCTAATACTCAGAACCCATTGCATTCTGGTGGTCAGCACCATCATATCTTCTTTTTAGATAGACCATTCTGTCTTTTGCCTGTATCACTGTCAGTATCTTTGCTGCGATTTGTGGGTATTTGCAAGATGTTGCCATTGGAGGATACTGGGTAACGAATAGGAGATCCCTGAGTTGTTTCTTACAAGTGCCAAATGCATGTGAACCTTCAATTATCTCAAAATAAAAGTTTAATTTTAAAAAGTAGCATCGGAACAATCAACACAATGTGGGATAGCAGTCCCTTCTAGGACAGGGAATGGAAGATGAGAGGATATATCTCTCCTATAGCACTGGAGCAACTTTCTTAGATTTGTAGAGAGTATGAGGTTTCAAAATCAGGTATGTACCCCTCAAATGACTTCCCTTTTCCAGAAAAATTTGATCACTAATGATGAGTTCCCATTTTGCTTGGCAAAGGTCTATCTAGTTCATTTGAATGAACAAAGTCAAATCCTGTGGCTTCTCAGCTTCTTCATATTGAGAACTCAGTCCTGTTCAGGATTGTTTTCTCCATGTCCCCCTTGTCCTCTTTCACATGGCAGCTAGACTCCACGGGGGAGGGATGCACAGAGGCACTGCAGAGGCAGTAGTGGGGAGAAGGTGCTGCTCCTCCCTCCAATCTTGATGTGTCTCTGACTCTACCTGGTCTCTTGCCCTTCAGACGGCAGGTGCACGGTGCTCTCTGGTCCCGGGCACAGGTGTATGGAGCCTTCATGAGCTGACATAACGGGATTTTTGAGGCTGAATACTTTATAGTGAGAAGAAACTTATTTCTCATGGTTCTGTGGGCTGAGAAGTCTAACACAGAGGGCTGGCCTTTAGTGAGGGCCTTCTTGGTTTGCAATCCCATAGCAGAAAGCAGGAGCGGGGAGAAGAGAGAGACAAAGACAGTAAGACAAAGTCAAACTTGCAGCCTCAAGTCCTTCTGTAATTCACATTAATCCATTCTTGAGGGTGGAGCCCTCATGATCTAAACACCATCCCGTTGGTCCTGCCTCTGGTCAGAGATTAAGCTTCTAGGATGTGGTTTGGTGTGTGTGAGGGGGGAACATTCAAACCGTACCAGCCCCCTAGCTGATGATCCATGACATGAAGTCACATCAGTTACAAATGAGACTGTCTCTGTGTGGAGTGGGGCTGGAGTGTCAACTTCATTGGCTTTGGTATCCACTTGGGGGGAATGTTGAGGCACATTTCTGGTGGCTTTTAGGGCCTATGTCTGGCCCACACCCCTTCCTCTCTGGCACTGTTTTCCTCCTCTGCTTCTCAGTTGCCATGAACTGAGCGTATTTGTTCTGCCAAACTCTCCCACCATGATGTTTCTGCCCTGGAGCCAGCTGACTATGGACTGCACCCTCTTGAGTCCATAATTGTACCAAATTAAACCCCTTCTTAAACTGTGGGTTTGGTTATTGTGTCTCAGCGACAGAAAATCCGACTAAAACACCCTGCCATATCCTGACCATACTTGACTACAGAACAAAATGATAAACCAGCTTTATTTTTAATCTTTCACTATCCCTTTCAATCTATACTGCAGGGCTAGTTCTTCTCCTGCCACTGGATGAAATCTCAGGCAGCCACAACTTCTGTAGCTGCTCTTAGGTAATAAATAGATAGCAGCTGGCCCTGCAGGCAGCTGGACAGGGAAGGCAGCTCAGTGAGATTGCCATGTAACTGCTTGCCAGGGTAAAGGGATCTAGGTTATTTACTACTTGCCAGAATGTTTACTGCTTGCTCAAATATGCTGAGTCCTTGGCCTTGAGTTCTTCAGCTTCAAGGAGGCCAAGTGGGTGGGTACATCCATCTGAGCTCATGGCGCAGCCCTGTGGGTCCTGAAGGCAGAGGACTATTCTGGTACACAAAGTATGTTGTGCTGAGAGTGATAAAACGTCTCCTCTCATCCCTGTCTGCTTTGGGCAACTATAGAGTCATGGCAGTGTGACTGGCTGTCCACTTCTCTAGCACTCTGCCCACACTTCACAGAGGGGGAAGGGTCAGCTCTTGCACGGACCAATCTTCCTGTGCTACATTTACTGGGCTTGCCAGGCCCCTGACCCCCACATTCCTCCTCTGTGCCTTAAACTTATCTGGGTGTCTCGTCTGAGCAATGACCATTGGGACTCTCTGCTGCTGTCTCTTCCTGGTTTTCTTCTGTCTCTGTAGAACAAAAGGTAGCAGCAGCAGGATTTGGCCCAAGTCATCCTCACCCTCCTTTGTTCCTCCTTCTAGGAGAAAAGGTAAATCATCAGGTAATAATGCCTCAAATATCCCAAACTTCCACTAATCTTGCCTATCCCTAATCTTCCTTTCTTAGAGCCCAAGGTGACTCCTTCTAAAGCCCACAAAAGTATACCTCACACTCCAGAGCAGAGGGCTTGGGACTCAAAAACCTGATTCTGAATGTCAGGTTTACCACTGATCACTGCCTGGTTCTGACTCAGTTATGAGGCCTCTCTGGGCCTCAAGTTCCAGGGCAGCTCGTCAATGAATGAGCTGAATTTACTTTCTGGGAGGATGTTCCCAAAATGTACACCAGAGGGCTCTAGT